AAATTTTATAAGTAAAAAAATAAACACTTAAAAAATTTTTTTTTAATTGAGTTTGCCGCAATTTCATTTTAAATTAATTGGATTAAATATGGTTACGAGATATCGAATTATCAATAAAAAAATCAAACTATATTTCTATTATCATTGCTTTATATAACTTTTCTGCTGGTAATCGGTAACTCAGTGAGTGGATCCACTGGAGCTTTTATAAAGACAAAAAACAGCAAAGTGGACTTTCGCTGTCCTGTCCACCCTTTCCTTTATAAATTAATCCGTCGTCTCTCCAACGAAACTCGAACTTCTTCTTCAGGGGAAGGGAACGATTAACCCAATGGACACCCATGGTTCCTCTTTCGCTAACCTCCGCAGCTACCTCGCCGCCCTGGCTCAGACGCCATCCCGTTTGGCTCGGCGTGCCGGCTCTTTATCCACTTCCTATGAGGAAATGAGCCGGATCAGGGCCCGTTCCGGATGCGACATGCAGAGGACCCTCCGGTGGTTCGACCTCGTGGGGCTCGGAATCGGAGGCATGGTTGGAGCTGGTGTCTTCGTCACCACTGGCCGAGCCAGCCACCACTACGCTGGTCCCGCCATCGTCATCTCCTACGCCATTGCTGGCCTCTGCGCCCTCCTCTCTGCCTTTTGCTACACCGAGTTCGCTGTCCACATGCCAGTTGCCGGCGGCGCCTTCAGCTACCTCCGCATCACCTTCGGTCCGTTTATCACAATCACAATCCCCTTCTTAATTATACTTCACTACATTCTCTCAACCAAACAAAATTAATTCATCAAGTTTTCAATCACTCTGTACAGGAGAATTTGCCGCATTCCTGACTGGAGCGAACCTGATAATGGAATACGTGATGTCGAACGCTGCAGTGGCCAGGGGTTTCACATCTTATTTAGGGGCGGCGATTGGTATATCCACCGCGAAATGGAGATTCACGGTCTCCGCCCTCCCAAAAGGCTTTAACGAAATCGATTTGGTCGCTGCAGCAGTCGTTCTTCTGGTCACTCTAATCATCTGTTACAGGCATAAACGAAAACCCAAATTTACTCAAATTCATCAATCACCATCGCAATCGAACTCATTTAATTAATCCAAATTTGATTTAATTTTTTTCAGTACGAGGCAAAGTTCGGTGGTGAACATGATATTGACAGCACTCCACATACTTTTCATAGCTTTTGTGATACAGATAGGGTTCTGGAAAGGTGATTTGAAAAATTTTACTCGACCCGGCAATCCCGAACATCCTTCCGGGTTCTTCCCGTTCGGAGCTCCGGGCGTGTTCCACGGCGCCGCCATGGTTTATTTAAGTTACATTGGGTACGACGCCGTTTCGACCATGGCGGAAGAAGTTCGGAACCCGGTGAAGGATATTCCCATCGGAGTTTCTGGCTCCGTCATCATCGTCACCGTTCTCTACTGTCTCATGGCCGCTTCCATGTCCATGCTCCTTCCCTATGACATGGTAATTAAGGAATTTTAAAATCGAAAAAATCACATAACTATTTTCCTTTTTTCTTCTGGTTGCCGTGAAATGATGAAACGACCTTTCTGTTGATCGGGTGTGGTGATGATCACGCAGATCGATGAGGAGGCACCGTTTTCGGCGGCGTTCAGAGGGAGATCGGACGGCTGGGAGTGGGTGTCGAATGTGATAGGGGTAGGGGCCAGCTTTGGGATCTTGACGTCGCTTTTGGTGGCGATGCTGGGGCAGGCTCGGTACCTTTGCGTGATCGGTCGGTCCAACGTGGTCCCCACATGGTTTGCGAGGGTACACCCTACAACATCCACGCCTGTCAACGCCTCCGCTTTTCTTGGTACAGTTTTTTCCCATTGAAGTCTTTTCCTTTATTTACACTAGTTAATCTATCATTATTTTATTAAAAAAAATATTATTATAATACATTTTTACTTAATTATTGTATATATATCATAATATTATATATATGTATTTATTTAATGAGATATTATATTATTTAATTATATTATCAATATAAATTTATAAATATTTTAATTAAAAATTTAGTTTTTATTCATGTTTTTAAAAATTGATAATTAAATTAAAAATTTTATTTATAAAAATCATATATATAAATTTTTATATTCAT